AAGAGAGAAGAGAGAGAGAGCGAGAGAGAGAGAGAGAGCGAGCGAGCGCGAGGAGAGCGAGATCGACAGAGAAAGGAGACTTAGCTCGAGTCTCATCTCTAGAGGAGCGAGAGAGACCGATCTCTCTCGATCGAGATAGAGCTTGCTGCTCTCCTCTCTCTCTCTCTCTCTCTCTCTCTCTCCCTCTCTCCTCTCTCTCCTCTCTCGATCTCCTCTTTTATGTCTTTCTTTCCCTCACCGACACAATGTGTAGAGGACACATTGTTCCCCATCACCGGAATAGGGAAGTGTGTGTGTGTGTGTGTGTGTGTGCACGTGCACCTGCGCGTGCGAGTGTGCTTGTGTGCGTGCATGCGTATTCGAGCACTTGTGTGTGTTTGTGAGGTCATTTGTATATGTGTGTGTGGTGTGTGTGTGTGTGCGTGACATGTGTATACTGTGGATGTAAATTAACACCCAGTCATGGTTACTTTCCTCCTCCATCCTTGCAGAGAGAGGACACCCATGTAAGTCTGGTACCAACCTGACCCTAATAACACTGTCAGTCACTCATGGCCCAACCCTAACTTGAGATCAACATCAAACTCCTATCTTAAACTTTCATGCAAATTGTGTAGAACTAAGTAGAATGGTAAACTCTGTAGGGATGCAGTATTAGGACTTTGCTATTTGATCATGGGCCTTGTTCAATAGAACAACATCTAAATTATTATTGTACTCCCTGACGAAGGCTATGCCAAAATGCGTCAGTGAAAAAAAATATACACTACCGTTCAAAAGTTTGGGGTCACTTAGAAATGTCATTTTTTTCCATTAAAACATACATTAAATGAGTTTGAATAGGAAATATAGCAAAATGAATAGGACATTTAGTAATTGACAAGGTTAGAAATAATGATTTTTAATTGAAATAATAATTGTGTCCTTCAAACTTTGCTTTCGTCAAAGAATCCATTTGCAGCAATTACAGCCTTGCAGACCTTAGGCATTCTAGTTGTCAATTTGTTGAGGTAATCTGAAGAGATTTCACCCAATGCGTCCTGAAGCACCTCCCACAAGTTGGATTGGCTTGATGGGCACTTCTTACGTACCATACGGTCAAGCTGCTCCCACAACAGCTCAATAGGGTTGAGATCCGGTGACTGTGCTGGCCACTCCATTATAGACAGAATACCAGCTGACTGCTTCTTCCCTAAATAGTTATTGCATAGTTTGGAGCTGTGCTTTGGGTCATTGTCCTGTTGTAGGAGGAAATTGGCTCCAATCAAGCGCCGTCCACAGGATATGGCATGGCGTTGCAAAATGGAGTGATAGCCTTCCTTCTTCAAGATCCCTTTTACCCTGTACAAATCTCCCACTTTATCACCACCAAAGCACCCCCAGACCATCACATTGCCTCCACCATGCTTGACAATCGAACCCACAATTGCTGATGCTCCAGATACTCAACTATTCTTAAGAAGGCCAGTTGTATTACTTCTTTAATCAGCACAGCAGTTTGCAGCATAATTGTAAAAGGGTTTTCCAATGATCAATTAGCCTTTTGAAATTATAAACTTGGATTAGCAAACACAACGTGCCATTGGAACACAGGACTGATGGTTGCTGATAATGGGCCTCTGTACGCCTATGTAGATATTCCAATAAAAATCAGCCATTTCCAGCTACAATAGCCATTTACAACATTAACAATGTCTACACTGTATTTCTGATCAATTTGATGTTATTTTAGTGGACAAAAAATGTGCGAAAACAAGGACATTTCTAAGTGACCCCAAACTTTTGAATGGTAGTGTATATATATATATTGAACATGCCATCATCAAGGCATTTCAATTATATGAAGAGTGCCTTGATCTTCCTTGTTTTTTTGTGGGGGTAGTGCAAAACACTCATTAACATCAACACAGAAACTATATGAAACTGTGAGCACTAACAGATCCCATGTTAATTGTGGCCCAGAAGTGACTACATTAAATGCTGATGGTGTTAGTGTGCGCATGTAATTCAGCATGACTGTGTTGACTGTATGGTGAGACCCATGTTGTAATGACTTCGGAACGTATTCACTCAAAAACCTTTACTTGATTGATTAATTGGAAATGGCCCATGGAGTGACCACATCAAATCTGACTGTTGAAAGCCTGATTGTGTGACCATGTTTAGCATGAATTAATATGCATGTTGGTTTCAATATGTTTCAGTAGGTGAACTGTTGTACTGACTATATAGAGTAGGCATTGTTAGTCTGACCTTTTCTGTCTATCTATTATAATGACTAACGCTACGCCTCAAATGGCACCCTATTCCCTAGGTAGTGCACTACTTTTGACTGCCATGTTGCGAGCATATGACTGTGATCAAAAGAAGTGTACTGTACAGGAATGCGGTGTCATTTGAGATTCAGCCTTATTCGTTTAGATGTTGACTCATACCAACATGTACTGTAAGTTGTATACGTATTGTAGTATGGTGTTTTAGAAGTATCTTCATTCCTTTGTTCACTAAACTTAAAGCATGAACATGAAAACGACAGCCAAAGCATTATGAAATTCAAGGTTAGTTTCATATTGTGTTTTATTGTGGTCTCAGTATAAGACATCAAATCTCATCCTACCTCGCTGTTGGTCTCAGCACACACACACACACACACACACACACACACACACACACACACACACACACACACACACACACAC